TAAACTTTATATATATTATATATATATATATATATATATATATATATATATAAAGTTTAAAGCTATATATATATATATATACATGCTGCTTTTAAGAAATTCCTAAAAACGGGAAGAACAAAAAAAGGAAAAACACAGTAAATTATCGAATAACTAACATTAATGCTGAACATACATTGTTCGTTAGAGAAAGCACAGTTCTTCGCTTACATGTCTAAAAGTTCAAACGAAATGTAACATTAACAATCAAGAAAAAGGTAACAATCTAATGGAAGTATCTACTATGTGTAATTTTTTTATATAAGTGCGCTTTTGACTTCCATCTCACCTGATGGAAAGTGACGATGAGGTCGACGATGGAGCATGCACACCTAAATAATGCCTATTCACTATCGCCTTTAAAATACCCAAGTTATAACGTTCAGGGAACAAGTCTGCAGGAGGGGAATTTCATTCCATAGCCGTTCGCCATATAAATGTAGAAGCGTAACGTAAAGCGAGTCTGTCATTAGCATACGCAAAGGTACCTGGAATTAACATATCATTGATAAGCAGCAGAAAGAGAGTTGCAGACAGTACGGAACCCTGAGGAACTCCGGCTCTATCGCGATATATTCGGAAGAGTAGCCTTCTAAGACCACTCGAATCGAACGTTCGCTCAAGAAATCCGAGATCAAATTGTTTGCAATTGGATCTCGGATTTCTTGGTCAGTGGGAAGTCCATAGCACGGAAACTTACTTAAAAGGCTTCCATGCCAGACCCTGTCAAAGGCTTTAGGAATATCCGAAGACACTGCAAGTGCTTCACCTTGCTTTTCTATAGCCTCGTTCCATGTGACAGGCATACACAAAAAGATCGCCCTCGTCGGAATTCGTACTGGCGATCAATGAGGAGGTCGTTGTCTTCAAGGTACGATAGGAGACACGTACACGTTGTTGAGTCCTTTTTACGACACAGGTTTAATATTTGCAAGCTTCCACGACCTGGGAACTACACCAGTCTCAAGTGAGAGGCGGTACAGGTGTATGAGAACAGGATACAACTAAGGCGCACAGTTACGCTGGACTATTACTGGAATTCCATCTGGCCCGCTAGCTTTATCCACGTCTAGATTTCGCAGAATTCTAAGTACCTTTTTTTGGCGTATGCGAACTGGCGCCATAGTGCAGCCAGCCTGAGGTAAAGTAGGTGGTAGGTTCCCTGCGGCATCTAGACGCGAACTCTCTGACTCAACGAGTGACCGCTTTGGCCAGGGACCAAAAGGATTTGCTGCCTGCTGGATATGAGGCAAGCTTGACCCCTATGCGGCGCACATGGCCGAACTTGGCCCTACGTAACACGTCTTTGCACTTCTTGGTGGCCTTATTAAAAGCTTTCTTCAAATTCCGAGTGCTCGGAGCTTTGCGTAGTTGAGCATCTGCCCAAGCTTGGTACGCGGACTGTTTAAGTGCTTCAGCACAACGACAATCAGCGTTAAACCATGGACTTGCTGACATGGATGGAGCTTGGGGTCCATTGGGTATATCAGAGTATGGTATGTAATACTCTATACCCAAACGCAAGACCTCGACTACAGCATCAGCACAGTTCGATGAGTTTCCTGAAATAAAGTGCGCCTGGCAGTGATATGACGCAAAGAAAAGGCGCAAAGAAAGAAATACCCAGTGGGGCCTAATCAGTTGTTAACAGAAGGTCCAAGCAATCAGCCGTATGAGACTCAACATCTGGGATCCTGGCCTTGGTGGCGCTACTGACGAGCTGGGAAAGGCCTAGCGTTAACACAAGTTTACGCGTCTCTCTGCCAGCGTGATCGGTCATCTGGTATGGGAACAACCATTCTTGATAACGAGCATTAAAGTCCCCCAGAATGACTAGTTGCGCCGCTGGGTACCTGAGCTGAGCCTCATCTAACGTCTCACTCAGACGTTGGCACAACTTGGTCGCCTCCTGATCTCCACTTTGCGAAGTTTAGACATGAATAAATAAACGCTAACAAAATCAACCTAAAGTACTTAATATGTGTAACAAAAAAAATTATAAAAGTTAATCAAACTAAAGTGAAACAAACAACTGTTTTCTTTATAGATTTTAAGACTTTCGTGGTTATTCACTAAATGATTATCACTAATATCAGGTTTCTTACCACGGTATGACTTCTTTTTATTTTCCCGATATTTCGGAACGGTTGCACGCTCCATGGTCACGGGTTGACTCAAAATAAAAAGAAGTCATACCGTGGTAAGAAACCTGGTATTAGTGATAATCATTTAACTGCTTTCTTCATTAAAATATTACCCTAAAGTACCTACATGTTTTGACCACAATTTGTTAATCATTGTTTTTCTGAATTCAATTCAATTAATTTTCATAACAGTGCCGGATTTAGGTACCTATTGTGTGGGGTGTGTAGTGCACACGGGCACAGGTCTTAAGGCGGCGTTCCACGTCTCGTTTTTCCATGGGCCGCGACGCGCGAGATCACTCCAACACGCCATGGGAATGGGCGGCCCAAGCGCGCGCGTTGCGGCTCGTGGTCGTCTGTTTTTGGCCCCGCCGTGGGTCGGTAACTGCAAAGGGTCGAACTCGCGCCACTCGCAGTGGGAAGAGGACCGCCAGAGCGTGCCCGTGGTCGCCCGTGGCGGTCTTTTTGAATTCACCGAGTGTCGGTAAATTCAAGGCCGCGGTGCGAGAGTATTACGAATTTGTTCCAGAGAGACAAACTGTTAATAAAAAATTGAAATTTAACGATTAACTTACTTTTTTGTTTGTAATGAACAATTCCCTTAATTCCCGTACTTTTTACACAGAATGCACGTAAGTAACGACTTACTTTAAGATATTCTCATAGACGAAGGAAAAACTATTGTATAATTCTGGCAATCAGACCTACCTCCCGCTTTTTAGTTCTTGATTTACATGTTTTTCAGTGACAATGATGTGGAACAATGCGCCAAGATGATTTCTGAGAAATATGAATTCCGGAGCCGTACACATGTGACCCACTACCTAAGAAAAATTTATTATGCATCATATACAAAACAAAAAGCTAAATGGAGCTGAAATTATTGTAAGCTTTTAATAGTTTGTTAATGCTCCAAAAAAAATTTTTAGGTAAAAACTCAAACCAAAGTAGTTAGAACGAACGAATAGAAACGAATAGATGTTGTTTCATTATTATATGGAGCCTCGGGCATGTCGAGGTATATATAAAATGGACACATTTATATTCAAACGACGCGGAATTGGCCGACCGGCTAGCAATGTTAAATTTGTTTTTAATAAATATTTTTTATTATTCTTTTTAACTACATACAAAAGGAGTTCGAAAAAAGTGTAACAAAACTTTAGTGTTGTTATCCAAATTTTCGAAATTTAGAAAAAACAAACTTGGCCTATTTTCTAAAAACTTTGTATCTTTGTAATACATAATATATTTAAAACTTTTGACTTATTTGATGTTGCTAGCAAGTCAATAAGCCAATCCTGCTTAAAAGTCAGATTCCAATAATTTGAACTACAATTTCTGAAGGTGTATTAGCAGGATGGTGTTCATGAAACTGCTCGGGAACTCTAATTACTCGTGAATAAGCTGAGAAGTCAATCTGTTGACGAAGGTGGTGCATAATAGATATACAAAGTTCCATACAAACTTTATGAGTTCGTAGTTTAGGGTTTACTGGTGTGTTTAATTTTTAATTGCTGTACTTGACTAATGACTTGACTTGACGTTTGTTATATTCAATATTTTATTTTTATACTTCTTATATCCATCTCAAAAGGTAAACTTGTAATTTTCAAAATTCGCTTATATAAAGAATAATAATAATTTATAATTCATTAATTTATTATATATATGTATTTCTTATACATGCTGACATGTGTACATACAAAATAACTATAGTTTCACTGTGTCCAGCCGAACATTGGGTATACAAATATTGAATATATATTATTATACATTCACTCACATACACTTCGACAGACCAAACGTGTAATATGTTTTTTTAACATGTTAGGATACGGACGGAAGGAAAACTAAAAAGGAAAGGAAATATGGAATAATAAGGACTATTATCATTTAAAATATGTACGTAATAAACACAATAACAAATTTTTTACATCAATAATAATAATAAATGAAAATGATAAATTATAATAGAGACTAGGATATTAAGGAGGCATGACACACGGGTAAGTAAAGGAACATGTGAAGATAGGAATTGTTGGAGAAAGAAGGAACGATCAAATCGGGAACAAGAGAAAAAGATGTGATCTAAGGGGACCACATCATCACCACACTCGCATCAATCGCTGTGTTTTTTTTTTTTTTTTTTTTTTTTTTTTTTTTGTATGTTTCGCTAGGGAACCTCTACCATTAGCAGAGACCTTTTTTGGCGAAATATTTATTAACAATTTTTTATTATTTTTACAGAATCGATCGAGAACCGATACAATGTTGTATGGCTCTTTCGTCAATTCAGGGAGGATTTTGCATGGAGTTGGGTTGCAATTTATTTCTTTACTATAACATCGCTTACACACTAATTACTTTATATATATACATTACTTTTTTATCTTACATTCGTTCCTATTTATTACATTTCTCTTATACAATACTACAGTTCTGTTTTATCTTATTTTACTATTTTATAATTTTTACATTACAACGTTTCCTAGGGGTATATTCTTCATATAGATTTAGCATTTCTTTACAATTTTTACATTTACTTTTGTTTCTTAAAATTCTAGTTTTACATTATCTTGCGTACTATTTATTTTCTATTTGTATCCTTATTTATATTATTGTATCTGATTTATTTTGTACTTGGCTTCCTGCTTTATATATTAAAATATAAGGAGGAGGAGCCTGATGATACCTATTTATTTTTATTTACTACCTTTCTAATTATATCTTTGGAAAACTTTAGAAATTTGTCTCTACTGTCTGTGTTCATCATTATTGTATGTATTGTGCTTTCTGTAATGCTCTCTCCTATCGTCATTTCGGCGTCGAACCTATTCCTCGCATATCTCGGGCAGCACGTGATACGTGCATCACGCTTTCCTCTACTTCCTCGTTACATTCACACGATGGGCTCTCCTTACACTTAAACCGATATAAGTATGAGGAGAACCCACCGTGTCCCGTCATCAGTTGGACTAGCAGCGGATCGAGCTCCACCTTTCTAAGTAGACCATATGCTGAGATGGCATCCGGAAAGAATATTTTTGTGGTGGATGCAGTTGTTCCCTCTACGTAGCGCCTGTTCCACTCGTCAAGCGAGTCCAATCGGATTTGTCGCTTGATGAATGAGACAGGACATCTATCGTAGTCGGCCCTGGTCTTTTTGTTGAGAGCTGCATCCTTAGCTAGTTTGTCGGCTCTCTCATTCCCCTCCAACCCCGCGTGAGCTTTAATCCAAAAGAGATTAACTACATTTTTATTTTTCCTAATTTCCGTTACGTTGGCTCTGATCTTAACTGCGAGGGGGTGGAGGGAAGTTCCATCAGCAATGGTCTCTAGCGCGGATCTTGAGTCACTGTAAATGTTGCAGTGCGGCGCCTTGTGTTTTAAGGCGTAACTCGTCGCCTCGGTCAAAGCCAGCAGCTCGGCCTGGTAGACGGTGCAGCTCCGGTCCAACTTCAATTTCTTAGTACTTATCTCTGCTGCATCATCCCATATGGATAATGCAGCACCGACTTTCCCCTCGATTTTGCTTCCGTCTGTGTAGATTTTCCGACCATGGTTGTCATGCTGTTCCAGAGCTGCGCCGTCCCCCAGGCATAAGAAGTCAATACCTATTTGTTCAGCGGGGTGAGGTTGCTCGATATAAGGTATTGGTCTTTCTAGCTCCCGATCACCTATTGCTCTCCGGGAATGGCCTTTCTTCACTTCATAAAGAGAGGCTGCTTCCCGGATCCTAATATCCAGTGGAAGCAGACCGGAGAGCAACAACGCCGAGTGCAGTGACACCGTCCTATATGACTTTACAATTTTTTGTGCAAAACCTCTTTGGACCGTATCGAGCTGCTTCCTGATTCCAAGCCTGTTCGTTGTCGTGGCCCACGCACTCGCTGCGTACCCTATCGTAGACTCAACCACTGCGTTGTATATTGTCCTGATTATCTCGGAATGCAGCCCCCAATTTATTTTCGCGGCTCTGGAGAGTTGTTTATAAAGGTTTAAGGCCTTCCGGCAGACGTTTGTCACGTGGGTGTTAAATGTGAGTTTGCTGTCCACCGTAAGGCCAAGGATTTTGATCTCGCGAGACAGTTCAACGCCCACCCCGCCCATGGTCAGATGTGGGGAGTCGTACTTAATTTTGTTTGTAATAACCATCGCCTGGGTCTTGTGTGGCGCGAATTTCAACTTGTTTACGACTCCCCACCTCCGCACACGCTCGAAGGATCAATCGCTGTTTATAATATGGAGTCTAGCTAGGTGAAGAGGAGTACATGTGTGTCCAAGACGCATACTAGTAATTACAGAAGTAGAACGTTTGGCTAACGTTAATTTAAAAAAACTTTGGCTTTATAGGAATGTGAGGTTGCATAATACAGTAAAATCTATCTTTTTTTCGAGCACTCTCCTCCCAAAGCTCATTCTAGGAGTCCTAAAAATAAAATCTGGGCAGAGCAACCAAGTCATGGCAATAGTTATTGTAATGGAACATATCTCAACTGGTGGAAGCGGCTTTAGCTAACTGATCGGGCTTCTAAATACGTGGGGCGTACTATAAGTTTCCGGAATCAATGCCAAAAAAATACCTACTATAAATGGTCAGAAATGAATTTATAGTTTCTCAAAATATTCTCCGTTAGCGTTAATGCACTTTTTCACACGAATGAACCAGTTTTGAAAACATTTATATCACTCCTCCGTGACAATTTCTAAAACATATTTTTCATACCCTTCGACAGCCTCTTCAGGTGACGAAAATCGTTGATCGCGTAACTGGTTCTTAATTTTTGGAAATAAAAATAAAGTCACAATGTGCCAGGTCGGGACTGTACGCGGGATGGCTCATAAGGTCAACGTTGTTCACCTTCAAAAATTCGTTTGTCTGTCTGGCCGTGTGAGAACTGGCATTATCGTGGTGCAAGATGATACGGCGTTTACGGTCATTTTTACGGAGTTTGTCAATAACTTCCGGCAAACAAATGGTCGTGTGCCAATCACTATTCACAGTACAACGATTCTCCGGAGCAACAATAGCCACGTGTCCAGTTTTATTAAAAAAAGAAGCAATCCTTCGCTTATAGGCACTTTGTACGCACGCCACTTTGGTTGGTTTCGGCTCATCTCGAAAGACCCATACGCTCGATTGCTGCTTTGTTTTGGGATCGTAACTATAAATCCATGTTTCGTCACCTGTTACTATGTCCCACACCAAATTTGACGCCTCTTCGTTGAATCTTGTAAGATGGCATTGCACCAAGTGACGCGATACGTTTTTTGAGCCTCATTCAAATTGTGTGAGATCCACCGAGAGCACAGCTTTTTCACATCCAAATGTTTGTGTAGTATTGATTATATTTGACTCATGCCTATGCCTAAAGATGCCCGAATCGTATGGTATGTCACATGCCTGTCTGTTTTGATCATACGGCGCACAGCATCGATGTTTTTGTTGTTCACAGCAGTCGACGTGCGACTATCATGAAATTCGTCACTGAGATTCACACGACCGCGTTTGAATTCTACAAACCAGTTCTAAATAGTCGTCTTGCATGGTGCTTCTTCGCCAAAAGCAGTTTGAAGCCGATCGAAGCTCCGCTGAGCTGTTATATTACACTTAAAGTCGTACAAAATCATACTATGAAAATTTTCACGAGTTAAATCCATGGTAACGTTATAACTTGGACCTTTTCAAGGCGAGAGTGAATAGGCATTATTTGGGTGCATGCATTGCATGCTCCATTGTCGACCTCATCGTCACTTTCCATCAGGTGAGATGGAGGTCAAATGCGCACCTACATTTTATTTAAAAAAAAATCCTCATTTTCACGAAGAAAAATAAATAAAACAAACGAGAAATGATTTTCTATATACACACGCCAGCACATCAAATTACTCATTGACGTATTTTGTTCCGTTAAACTGGAGGCGATTTTCGTACAAAAATATGTAGTCTGGTGTGCCGTTGTCCGTACTGTTAAATAAAAAAATAAACAAAACATTGAAGAGATTTATGTAAATAAATAAGTTCAACTTAACTTTTAATCATTATAAATGAATATTTAGACAATAAATTCTAAAATAATATTATTTCCACTGCGTCTAAGGAACTATTTTAAGATTGTTAAATTTGACATAAGAACAATATTACTTTCATGTTAAAGTCGCGTCATAGTACGAACTGAAACTGAGTGAATGAATAGTCACAAAGCTGCAAATAAAACCACAGTTTTAACATTACAATAAGCTTAGTTTAAGCGTCATGGTACGAAAAGTCAAAGTAAGTTTAATATTATTTTAAGAGGTTGTGCTAGGCCCCCAGATCGGCCCTGCTGTCGTTTTAATTCCGTCCGACCATCTCGTTAGTGATCTGCCCACATTTCGTTTTCTTAAGCGAAGTCTTCAGAACACAACTCTCCGGCTCCAGCGGTCGTCATCTCTACGACACACGTGTCCAGCTCATTACTATTATGGACAACTACTGAAATTATTCAGACATATTGCTATATAGTTATTCAACTACTTGTTTTTTTTTACAAATCGAAACATAACCTAGTACTGAAGTTAACCGAAAACTGCCATGACACGAGGTGAAAGACAATGGAAATTTATAATAATGTCCATAATAATTAATAACAAAGGCTAAAAATAATATCAAAAAGATACACCGATATGAGTGACTAACACTAACAAAGCGCAATCGATAGCAAATAAAAATAATAACAGATGAAACTTTTATTCATTTTTCTTTTGCTTTGGATATATTTTGTAACATATTTTATTTGGTTTCCAATTGCTTTACCAACTAAGAACTATGTTTAGGCCAGTCTAGATAGTCAGATATAGCTTTAAAAAAACGTTTGTAGTGACTACAGATTTTTCAGACAATCTATGGAATTCTGCTAAGGAATTCTACGTATTTTCAACATCATTCTACAGATTTTTAAAAATTGTATCTGGCAACATTGGCCTGAGCATGCCACAGAAAAAAAGGATTTCTACTAATAAGAAAGAGCAATTTCTCAAAATATTTGCTAATTCTGAAAAAATATTTATTAAAAGTAATAAAATATTGTCACTACAAAAATACTGCTTATCTTTTTCTAATACAATTTTACTCTTAACTTTATTCTAACTTTGAGACAAATACGTTCACTTCAAGATTTTATTTCATTTCTAATCAATTAATTGGACATTACTTATATCAAGAAATTTTTACCTCTTACATCAAATTTAAATAATCTTAAGTGAATTTAAAATTTCTTGGGTGTATTTTAAGAAAATATATTCTTAAACAAAAAAAGAAGTAGTTTTCTATTCAGATTAATATTCTAAATTCTAGAGTATATTCTTAAAGCAACATTTCGTTGCGTTTTCATAGTCAATCTTGTCGTGACATGTCGCCGAAGGCGCACGCGGTAACGATTACTTTTACTTGTGCTTGTAATCATAAAAATCATAAACAGTCATTTATCCAAAGAAACAATACGTAGTATCTCTAGTTTGTTAGGGTGTTCTTTATAGTCATAATTTAAGAAATTTGGTTACAGCATGAAATCAAACTACACTTGTAACAAGTATAACATGCAATTAGTTCCATCACGCCACTGCTAGATGGCATTAGATGTATTCTGAAACGCGCTATCGTTTTGTTAACTTCAATAGTATAAAGTCATCTCATATATTTAGGATTGTTAGTGCTTTCTGCCGCTGTAGCATTTATACGGCACTGGATGGTCCTCAAGTATTTGAGAAGATTCCATATTTCCATCCTATTTCTGCTACTTTAGGGTTTGGCACTGTTGGGTCCATAACCCTGTAAATTTATCCTTTTTGATATTAGAAAACATAAATCTTCAGTCAAATAATTAAGTACCTCTCAATTTTTCATTCTTTTTTTTTTCAAATCAAAATCGGACATTTCTAATAACAAATAAATATTTTGTTGAATCTAGAGTGGCTTTGTGACTTGAAGTAAATTAATTTGCTCTTGGATTAAATATTTCTGTCTTGTAACGAAAATACACTTTTGAGACGTTTTTTTACTATTATCATGGACCAATAACTCAAGAGGACTGCTAATCGTCATACAAGATAGCGTAGCCGGGTATTTAGTACCTATTGGTACACTAGATGTCGCGACGATTACCAAATAGCTATTTTGTAACGTTATTTTACATTGACACATTGATTCTATCAAATCTGCTTCTAGTGATAACAAACACGTCAACTAGATGGCGCTATATTTTACCTCAAAATGGATATGCACCTGGAGTCGTATACAAATACATTGTAAAAAAAACAATCGCAACTCACAACGTTTCCATCCTCTAAATAATAACTAGAACACTACTTTGTCTATTCTAATGCCATTTAGACATATTGATTTGAGTTTAGCTTAAAATTATTCATATTTCAATGTTACTGGGTGTAAGAAGCGAGAAAAAACAATGGCTACGGTGATTTTAGGCTGAGAACACCGAACGTGCGAAATAATATTTTTTAATTTTATTTGTAATTCCAAGAAGTATGATATCGCAGAGATTGCATTGGTCCCAAAGGGTCATATCGGAACGCCACACAGTGGGCCCAAATTGATAATTCTTGGACATAGGAATAACTTGTGGAGTATCGAGCAAATTTTTTTTATGTGATATATAATAACATTCCTAACAACTTTTATTCTTGTATGATTTCTTGAAAAGTTGATAGATTCAGAGAAAAAAAAATTTTTGTATGGACAAATATACATTTTATTTTTTATCTCAAAATATACGAAAATCTAATGTGCGTGGGTTACTTACAGTATAGTTCCCATCATTTTCTATGTAGAAAAAAATAATCCGTCTGCATGTACTTGCGGCTTTGTAAATAAAGGTGCGGCAAAATTGCTAACTCTTCTATGTACTTTTTTAACAAACAAAGTTTAAGACAAATATACATTTTATTTTTTATCTCAAAATATACGAAAATCTAATGTGCGTGGGTTACTCACAGTATAGTTCCCATCATTTTCTATGTAGAAAAAAATAATCCGTCTGCATGTACTTGCGGCTTTGTAAATAAAGGTGCGGCAAAATTGTACATAAAAACTCTTTTATGTACTTTTTTAACAAAATACATAAGCTTCGTGTAATCTGTGTGTAATATGTCATCCATTA